GATGCGGAACCCTTGACTGTCGAGAGCGAATACGCATCATGATGGAACAAGTCGAAATTTGAATGTGTGATTTTGGTACAGGCTGTATTCGGCCAACCCTAACCGTGCCGCATCACCTCACCTCATATCGTGCATTGCCGCATGAAGTGTAAGTGTGAAAGCCAATGAAAGCCGTTTGATAAACACCGTAAGTGCACCACCCATTTCGTAAAGGCATGTTCCAGCCCCAGCTGCCCAGCGCATGCGAAAACCTTTAACCCTTCTTCTTGGAGACACCGACGGTTCGGCCGCGACGACCGGTGGTCTTTGAGTGCTGACCACGGACACGGAGGCCCCAGTAGTGACGGAGACCACGGTGAGCGCGGATCTTCTTCAAGCGCTCGAGATCATCACGGAGCTTGGAGGCGACACCGTTGGCGAGGACCTGGCTGTTCTTGCCATCGACAATATCGCGCTGCCTGTTGAGGAACCAGGCGGGGATCTTGTCTGCAGGGTGTCAGCGTCATTATCCATGTTAGAGAGATGGTCGTGGCGTACACTGGAGGGGGTTCTGGATGATGGTAACGATACGCTCAAGCTCTTCGGAGGTGAGGTCACCAGCGCGCTTGGACAGATCGACATCGGCCTTCTTGCAGACCAAGTTGGAGTATCGGCGACCGACACCCGTGATCTTGGTCAAGGCGTACATGACCTTCTGCTTGCCATCGACGTTCGTGTTCAACAAACGGATGATGTATTGGAAGCTGGTAAAGTCAGCACTGCTCTTGTGGTGCGAATATGCCTCCGTTTGTGCGCCGCCTCTATGCGTAGACCTCCGCAATCCGAAAACCATCAGCCATCGCAATTGGCCACTCCAGCCCGAACAGCACAACAAAGCTTCCCCTTGCACAGATAGTTCCCTTCATCTTTCTGCAACGCCTGGTGCGTACGATTGTCTACTCTATTCCCTCCCATTGGCTTCTGAGTGCTGTCGGACTGGAAGGCGGCTGCGAGGTCGTGTGGACTCATAGGACTAGGCGGTTCGATGCGAAGGAAGCCGAGGGCTGAACGGGGAATCGCAGGCTCTTGTATGAACGTACTTAGACTTCTCTCCGGAGACGAGCGCTGGAAAGTTGTCAGCATGCCTCTATTACGAGTGTCTGAACATCAATTATTGCGACCCCACTCCACGCGCTGGGTGAGGCACACTCGGCGCGATCAAAGCCAGGGTCGCAACAACTGATATGAGTCGATAGAATCCGGGTATACTCACACATGATGGCGGCTTGTCGTACGTCGTCGATGTGGTGTTGTCGATGCTCTTACAGTGGGAGGAATTTCGATCGTTCTCGCTTGCGAGTGTTGGCTTGCCAAGGGAAATGGCACGTGCGAGCGTTCTAACCGCTTCGGGCCTCCGCTGGCAAAACCACTCCGCTCCTCTGTCTACCCCCCGGGGCCATGTGGGAAGAGTGAGGCGCCAACTGCATTGTGAGCAGAGGGAGACATCCTGGGATTCTATTTTGCTGTTGGAGTTCATGTGCGTCTGGATTCCATGGGGCTTGAGGCTGCAGAGTAGACGACGACCTGCTCACACCGACTCAGTCCCTTCCTCGCATGAGCTGTGCTCTTGCAATTTGTGTGCTTTGCGTGCCGCCCATCGCTCGCGCGCGATATAATTCATCTCGCAAACTATCGGTCAATGCACTCGCGTGTGACGTCTTCCTTCACCGCTCCTGCCGCCATAGTTCTCCCGTCGTCACCCATGCAGTCCCAGTGCGGACAGTTTGGGGCTGTGTGCGCGAGCAGGCGACGCGCTGCCTGGCAATGCACACGTCTCTTTCGCACGCATTTGGGCATGCTTACGGAACAACAGGAAAAAGCAACGACATGACCTAACAGTGAAGGCACGATAGCTATGTCTCGATCACGAGTGCTGCCTGTGATTCAAGGCTAGCACGTTCAATCGCATCCAGTCCTCCGCGTAGTACGTCTTCGTGTCGTACTTCGCGTGTACCAGAGGTCGCGCTCGGTATCGTCTCGATGCTTATTTTATCCAGGACGGCCTTTGGAAGCACTTTTAGCAAGCTCTTTGTCTATCATGGGGACTACCTCACCGTATTCTCTCGGTGAATTTCACACGTTTCCTACGTCACAGTTTGCAGTTCCCGCCCCAACTCTATCGACCTCCATAGGTTCGTTATGAGGCGAAGCATCTCTAAGCGTGCTGCGCCACCGTTCGACCTCAACACTTTTCCCACATCGTCAAGTCATTTGCCAGGATGTATGGTGCCTGGAAGTAGGCACACAGTATCTGTGGCTGTAGCTGCCTTGCAGCCACATGTATGCCTGGCTGTTAAAAGCTCCGCTACACCCGTGTGTATTTGTAAAGACAGCACTTCACAGCCTCATCCAACTTATCCATACAGCCTACCCTAGACTGATTCGACCTTGAGCCACGGATACACTCTCACACTATACTGACTCTACTCAATTCGGTCACTGTATTTGTCTGACCGGATCATCCTATGCATCAGGCGAAGAACTCTTCTGGGCAACACAGTCGTGGAAGCCGGTTCATCGCTTAGCCCTGACAACGACCCGGACATTTCTTCCAAAGATGGATTCTCGGGCCCACATTATTACAGACGGATCGTTCACCAATGATGAACTTACTACTGGAACCGCACCCGTCGTCGAGCTTACCAGACATGACACGATCTCCTCCGTCGAAAGTGTCCCACGATTATCCGAAGGCCGTTGGGCACTGAACCTCAGTGGAAACTGTTCGACCTGCCATCATCACCACAGATCTGTACAGGTGCATGTTCAGGTTTCGGGCGACTCTACTGAATTCGGTGATGTGTATTGCCACAAATGCCAGAAATTGTGGTTGGCCTTCGGAAAACTCAATGGCACGCGCCTGTCTCTTCTCTCTACAAAGAGTCTAGAGCCGGAGACGCTTGCAGCTGAGGCTGATTTCCGCAAAACTCTGGTTCGGGCTATACAGTCTGCCACTCCTATCGCCACACTATCTCCCACTCTTACCGTCATACCGGAAAGCACACCGGCCGGTCCATCCCGGGAGACATCTGTACGGTCAACCGCTCAGAGAGACACCCAGCAACACCCAGCATCCATCGGCAGTCACCCAGGGCCAGTGTCTGTTGAATCCAGTAATGGGGAACAAGCTTCAGGTCTCAGCCATATCCGCTCGGGTGGCCAGAGGTATGCGACATTCCGCCAAAACGCTTGGTCCAAAGGTCGGCAGGCCTTCTCTCGCCTCAGTATGAGGCTTACAGCACGACTACGCAAATCAAAGCCCAGTCCCCCAGTTACAAGGTTCCCTGAGAGTAGCTCCGACCAAGATCGCCATCGCCAAGTCGGGGGATCTTTACCGGCTGGTATAGCGCCCATCGTGGAAAACTCGGAATCCCTGGCTGAGTCTACAGAGACTCACGTCGACCTCCAAGGCGAATCAACTCAGGAGTCTCCTAATGTCCGCGACCGGTCAGCTGCCGCAACGAATGCGCTGGTTTCGCTCCAAGATCTCGACCTTGAGGCGATCCATGCTTTATCTCCACAAGAGCGTTGGGAATGGGGCCGCAGGCAACTAACAGACTTCAGAACACAGTATGCCGTGTCCACTGTTCCGATCAGTGACCCAGTCATGATCAATAGTGGAACGCAGGCAAACCTTTCGGAAGATTCGCTGTTGTCTCATCGTCCACTTACCAGACGTCATTCTGCCTTGGCTTTCGTTGGAAACACTTTTGGCACTCACGACTACTGGGACGTCTTTCGGGGAAGTACGCAGACTTTCCATAATCGTCCACTGAGCATGAGCGAAGCGAATTTATCAGACGCCGAAACCGTTGTTGAACGAATCAGTATCGCTCCTACCACACACCAATTACTGATCGATACCTTACATCGAGATCGCCGCGGATCTGAGTCTTCGCGCCCTCTTTCGATGTACAGTATTGTGCACGAATGGCAGCAGTATGCTCGGAACAGGGCGGAGGTTCGACTATCGATAGACTCGGCAGCGACTGGCGGTGCTATCAGAAATATCGCTATGGGGAGGGCGCGTGCAAGCAATCGCCTATCTCGTAACTCGATGAATCGGGCGTCCTATTTATACGATACAGAGCTAGGAGGGTCGAGAGTTCAGCTGCCAGTGGCGATGGAGACCGAGCGGAGCGATATACCGGAACACGCTAGCTCGCCTACCGGATCGCCACCGAGCCCCGAAGCAGATGTGAGATCACAGGGTTGAAGTCTCGATATGTCTGCGAGGCTCCGCAAGACCCGGAACTCAGGGGCTCTTCACTCGTCAATTTCACCTTCGTATACGATGCTACGGCGAGTTACCACGGTCTCTTAGGTCATTTCATTTTAACGCTGCACGAGCTTTCCCTGGTCTTACGAGCCAGATAGCCTCGGATGCATTCCTTAAATCACCATCACGCCCCACGATATGCTGTTTCTTAGTTTTCTTTCAGCACAAATGTATACAAATAGATCACTCTGCTTGCCTTTCGCGATCTTCGAGAAGACCCGTTTGTCAACATTCATCTCATCTTTTAATCTATCGTGACTGCTTCAAGGGTTGTACTGCTTGCGCCAGTCCCAGTGAAAATAGTTTGGCTCATGATGTGATTCAGGGCTGAGTGAAAGTCTACGCCAAAGAGGTCGTGCACGAGGGAGACTGCAGCTCCCAGCTACTCAGCTGTACTTAGAGTCGACTCTCCAAGCATTTCTTTCGCCTCCACAGTTGGGTGGGATTAGCCAGCACTTATTTCTCTTGCGTGCCATCTCAACCAACACCATGACGCAACCAACGGATGCACAGGCCTTCCTCTCTTCCCTCGAGTCTCTCGAATGTGCCATATGCATGGAAGGATACGACGCCAATCACCCCCCTATAATTCTCGAATGCCATCATATCTTCGGCGAAAAATGCGTAAAACGTTGGATCGAAAGTGGCAATGGTTTGTGTCCTAATTGCCGCGCGCCTCTACATGGAGAAGAGACTACTGTCCCAACAAGCCAAGGGATCCCACAGCTACCAATGGAAGTACTGGCAGAGTTCATTCGAGAGGACAACATGGTTCGGTGGAGCCAAGAACCCCAGCAGCGACCGGTCCAAGTACGGACAGATTTCCTTCGAGAAGACAACATCGTTCGATGGAGCCAAGAACCCGAGCAAGGACGGGTCCAAGTACCGACAGACTTCATTCGAGAAGACAGCATGGTCCGATGGAGTCAAGAACCCCAAGAGCAACGGGTCCAACCACCCCAGCAGCGACCAGTGCAAGTACCCTCTAAGGTTATGCGCGTTATAGCCCGTCAATCCGATTGGGATGTGCTAGTAAGTCAGCGTATGAGGTGGCTAGTGTCTCGATCAGAACGTCTTGTGGCCTCTCTACTGCGACTACCCGGACAGGCTGGGGTCAAGCTAGGTCTACTTCGACGGAATGGTGCAGATGACCGGTCCGCTACTCCTCGTGCTCGGAAGCGCCTGCAGCGAAACCCAGAACATCATCCACAGGCTCAGGATACCCGTAGGATAGCCGATGCAGCACGTCGAACGGGAAACGATAGAGGCGACACTCACCAGGCCACCCGCGAACCAATCGGCCGTACTGATATGCAACGGCTTACGGACGGACGAGACCGCCATTCATCCCGTAGCGTTTGGCAAGCGCTGCGAGACCGAGCACAACCTTCTCGTGCCCATCGGAGACGCCAAGAGGATCAGGATCGAGAGTATGCACAACTCCTCCAGCGTACATACGATGAACAAGATGACGCGTATGAGGCGTACGACGACGACTTTGACGTACCACACCGGCCTACATACTCGATACGTGACGGTGTACATAGGATCCGCGAGCCACCATCGAATGCCTATATACCTCAGCGGTTTAGAAACGCAGGGCTTAACGGCTTGTATGATTCTGTCTATGAGTTCTACTAGGGCCATCTTGTGGAAGGTGAGATCAGCTTGGTCGTGTGAAGCGCTGAGTGCTAACGGGTAGTCAGGGCTGAAGAGTGCAAGGGAGAATAAAGCCGTATCGGATGATGCAATTTTTCAGAATCTTGAAAGCGTACGCAAGGGTATATATCGGCTGCGCGTTTCATTGTCTGTAGCCTTACAATGAAGACGAGGTTGATGGGAGTTCATGGAGAGCCATTCTTGATCATGCTGTTTATTATTCAAATATAATGTAGAGTTGGTCAAGCCAGAACGGCCAACATTGACTTACCAAAACTACACCGCGATGTCCGTTATTCTCACCAGTCATCAATCATGTCATTAAATTCTTCACTCTCCACATCCATAACCTTCCTCGCTGCCTCACTTCCACTAACTGGTAGCATCTCGAGCCCACCATCTTCATTGTCATCCTTCTTCTTGAACTCCTTAGGCACCTCTTCAGGATCCATGAGGCCGACCTGGAAAAGCACAGAAGCCTGGTCCCAGTAAAACCTCTCGCACCATATCTTTCCAGCTCTGAATCCCACGATGCTCACCACGACTATCTCGACTTTCTGGTTTGTTGGTGCAACGCCAGGAAGAATCCAGGGCATCTGGCATGTGTGTTTGAACTGGATGTAAAGTTCGTCTACTATTCGATCGACGCCTATTGTGCGCGAGATGAGGCGCATGTGCATTGATGGTGGGGCCGTTTTGAGAAAGTAGTCGCGGTAGAAGCGCTTGAGATCTGGATGGCCGCTTGCCCCGGTCATAGTCGGAGTAAAGTTGACGTATGGTGTCGGGGTTTTGGTATAGGTTTCGAGGATCTTATCGAGCGATTTTCCGCGGTACTTTTCTGTTGAGTGTTAGCTTTTACAATAGATACGATTGGTCGCCATGCATACGCTCTTCGTTTTCCTCCCATAGCCGCTCCAGATCTACCTCGGCGCTGAAGCCCTTTCGAACAGTGCTCAAACTCCTGCTCCATGCGATAGCGTCGGCCACGGCGTCGTATTCATCTAGATCGTGCTCTGCAAAGCCTGCATCAACGCCCTCGTATGTGAAGCACGGATACAGTATCTTGTCCTGTAAGCCTCCCGCGCCAATACCGTGCGTGACGCGCTTCTGCACCGTCCGTCGCTTGCCTTGTATGCCAAGAACTTCGGGGCGACGCGTCACACCAACGGTGATGTCGTTTCCGGATGTGCCCTCGGCTAGATGTACGAGCACGCGAAAGGACGATGTGAAGCGGTGACGTGTATCGGGAATGGAGGACGGATAGTAGGCGATGAGGGAGCAGAGTTTCGAGGTGGCGGTTTTGGGTTCCGAGTAGACGTCTAGACATACGGCTGCAGCGTCACCGAATGCTACAGAGCCATGGTCAGTACATGAGTCGGAGGGTGCTGGCGCAGAGCACGTATACTCGTGACATGCGCCAGAGTGTGAAAGGGCTGTATACCCACGATTGCGTAGCGTTCCCCAATGCCCATCTTGTCCCCCAGCTTGTGAAGCGTCTGCACGTATTGCTTGCCACCTTTGCCCATAGGGATGTATTCGACAATGAAGCCCTCGTCGCGCCACGCCTTCATAGTCTCGATGTCGAACTCGGCGTCTTCGGCTGTGATGTACAGCACGGGCGTGCTGCTCCGGAACGACAGCCAGCCATTGCGGTCAGCGAGGAATTGTTGCGCCATGTCGTGGTCCAGAGTCGTTGTCGCAAAGGCAGGCGCGCTCACGCGATGGCTGCGGGAGGTCCACTATAGGCAAGCGTAGCTATGCTGGTTCCGTCTTGGTAGCGTCCGATGATGGTTGGGACGTTGTCAACGGTGTAGTGCGATGCGCGGTGGTTAGGCCAGCCCTTTGCGCGCGGATGAACAAGGTCAGACCATTCATGGATGCAACGGCGCATTTTCGGTGCGGGCTCACAAGAATCCTGCTCGAGGCTGGTTGCATGAGGATTTAGTGGAGTCGTGCCTGTCTCCAACTCGTGAATGACGTAGGCGCTGTAAGCCTCCTTCGGGACTAGCCGGAATGCAGCAGGAAACCGCTGTCGCAACACCGAGGATCCTGACATGTTCATACTTCATGGGATATCGTTGACGGGATCCATGCGCTATGCGACGTGCCTGAGGCTGGCGTAGGCCGCAGCGACTACTCCAAAATCGAATCAAGTACACCTGGGCAGTGTCTGCTGCCTGCTCAGCAGCAGGAGGCCTAATATGTGGCAAGGACAAGTGAACAATTCATAAACAGAATCTCATCCTTCAATTTCATCCTTCAATTTCATCCTTCAATTTCATCCTCTTTCTGTAGCACTCTTGCGAGCGACATGTCTGGCCACGAGATGGAGTTCAAGGCGACTTTGGTGCCACATCGGTCCGACTCGACAGCAGCGAGACAACCGCCTGCGTACGATGCTGCTCGGCTCTATACGTCCGTCTCGTCTTGCTAAAACTTCCTAGGCTATCAGACCCAGCCATTGACCATCGGCTCTGGGGTCTGAATGCTGGAGATCGTTCTCGTGTTCTTGGTCTCTACGATCAAGGCAAGAAACTCGTTCCAAGCTACAACAAAATCCAGAAAAATGTCCAAACGAGGCAGGACCAGATCATGCGATCTGTAAACGGAACCGACGATTGGGATTGGTTCATGCACACCGACGTACCAGGATATGATGGGCTTGAACTGCGAGAAGAGCGCCTTGCCGTGCAGGAAGCAGCACTTAGACGTGAGAAGATCAAGTATTTTTTTGAGCGCGATCCCGAGCTATGTCATCTCATGAGAGAAAGAGAGGCCGTCGAGCGCCCTATCTATCAGGTCGCTGCGGCCTGCGCAGATCTGCAGCTATGCCAATCATTCACGGCAATCATCCTCCAGAAGCTCCCTCGCGAACTGCGAGACCAGATATACAACTATCAGTGGACAGAAGAGCACATCAGAAGCCTAAACGACGCTATCTCATTTGTCCCCAAATATCATTCCGCCGACGAAGCTGGCACAGGAGTACAATATCTCCCTGTGCCACGTTTCGCAAACGCCGCGTTGGTGGGCGAGGAGTTCGCATCTGAAGCTGCAACCACGTACTTCAAGGACCTTTCAAACGTTGAGCTTGACTATCGCTATGTCCGCGCCTACCTTGAACGCGACCGCTTTGGTTCCATGGCATTCTCGTTCAAGGATGCTATACGACGTCTCGTCATCACGATCGATGAGGACTATGGTAATATCTATTCAGGAAAATGGATAGCATGCAGGGCATTGTACGACAACATGAAGAGTCTGCTGATGCTGAGAGATCGTCAAGAACTCAGTGTTGAGATATATCTGGAGTCAGATATGCAATGGAATCTGGCCCTCTTCCAGGCTCTCGAAACCATCAAACCAGTATTCTTGATGATTCGCGAGGCCAACATGGATGTCAAAGTTCTAGGCTACGACTTCTTCAGCACAACCGAAGATTACGATGCAGACGTATTCTCCGAACAACTCAACTACTACCTCACTGCGGGTACTCCAGAAGAGTGGCTGGAGATGAAGGCCAAAGAGATCAAAGAGATGCCGCGGGGTCCGTTTCGGCAGCGATGCAAACGGGTAAGTGGTCCATTATTTTCAGCGAGAGACCAAGCTCATACCAATCGTAGACACTGCGAATCATGCGAAAGAACCTTGAGTCTGTCATGCGAGATTCTCGCAAGGCCGCTGAGTCTGCTAGAGCCAGCGTATAACTACAAGGCACGTCTTGGCAGCGCACACAAAGTTTGACTCCATCTGTCCGTCGTTACTAGCTTCATGTGTTTTCCAGGTATCCTCTAATCTATTTCTTGTGCGTGAAGGTACATGTATCACTAGAATCGTCATGTAGAGTAGGCGGTAAATGGTAATGGGATTTAACTTGGTCCCCCGACCGTGTGCTCAACTTGCTAGATCAAACAAAGCTGGCAACCCAGACATCCATCGCCCTGACTCCCATTCTGCCCCCCTGGATGCCTTCTAGGCTTGCCTCACATACATCTCGCAACGCAAAAATAACTCCCCGTTCCCTCTCATCCTTCACATTCACCTCTATCTCTCTCTCAAAAGAGGGAGAGAGGCAAGCGGAGACTTCCCATTGTCCATCCATCAGTCCCTCGTCACTCTGCACGCGCGTCTCGTTCTCCAGCTGCCACCCGGCCGCTAAAGCCAGCTCGATGAGTCGTTTTGGGCCCAAGACAGTGCGAACATTCGAGATGCTGTTGCCTTTACGGCACTCCAGCGCTGCCTGCGTAAGTGCTGCTAGTACATGAGGCTGAGCAGATGGATGTGTCGCTATCAAAGACCATTCAGAAAGGAGAAGACGCTTGCTGTGCTGTCTGATGGCACGGAAGGTGGAGAGGATGAGCGAGGGGGTGGGGAAGTACCATAGACAGTGGGCGAGCACTGTCGCGTCAAAAGCTTTGTCGCTGCTGGTGAGTGCCGAAGAGATAGAAGACGATATGGGAAGGGAAGAGAGATATTCCAGGGGGGGTTGTTGAATCCACGTGATTTGTTTTCCGAGCGGTCCTTGTGAGATGTGATCTTGTGCTTGGCCGAGGGTATACGGAGAACCTAAAAGGTCATAAACCCACTACGTCTATACGCCTACCAGGAAAGCAAGAAAAAAAAATAGTTCGGAAGGACTTACCATAACCCAAGTCTGCTGGATCGACGGCCACTACGCTCCTTTGCTCGCCAACGGCGCAAGCAAGGACAGTCGTACAATCTCCCTGCCCGCACCCTAATTCGAGCACCCTCGAGCCATAAGAGATATTCCATTGCTGGAGGAGCCTTATACGGTGGAGGGTTTGGGCGTGCTGGATGCTGAAGTTACGAGGATCGTGCAAGGAAAGACGAGCAATATAGGCGGCGTCGAGTTCGGCAGCCATCTTGAGCTCGATAGGTGTTGAATAGAAGACTGCAGATTCTTGGATTGCCAGTTGGATTGTGAGGGCCTTTATTCAACTCCAGTACTATTAGGCAGAAGCTGATAAAGATAAGGCGAGTATTGAAGATGACTCAACCGCCTTGTCTGAGTCAAAACCTCCGGAGATAAGGCACGACGTGGAGATACGTAGGAGGATGCGCACTAGATTCATACCACCTTCCGAATTAGACTGCCCTGTCTTCCATCTTCGTTTGCACATCATTACAATTTCGACCTAGGCGCCTCACCATCGTGGTTCCATCCTGGCATGTCCGCGAGGTCCTTCGCACGAGCCGCCCTTCTTGACTTCAGCGCATCACCAGTACCAGGACGCCATCTCCATGCATGCGCGAGGTCATCTGCCAGTGTACCTTCGAGTAACTCGACCACATGCTTACCAATGTTTGGAAGTAGCTTGAAGGTATGGCTACATATCAGGTCAGTAACTCAGCAAAACAGCATTCGTAACGAGGAAGAAACTCACCCGCTATCTCCGGTAGCAAGCACGAAATTCTTCCAATCAGGATGTTCGCACATCAAAAGTGCCGCATCTGCTGTGTCTGTACACCAACACAGATGTCTGTTGAACAACTCTTTGTCTGTGAACTTTGGCAGGAACGTCGCAATAGCTTTGCGGATGCTGACCTCGGAGGCATCCGGATAGGTATCTGTGGGATGCTTCGCAGCAGATCTAGGTACCGAGATGCGCTTTGGTGCCGATGCGCCAAAAGGCTGATGTTGCTTGAAGCGTGTGAAGCCTGGAAATTCGTCGCAGACTTTGATGACGCCGTGTTCATCAGGCTCGAAGAAGAAGCCCACGTCACCGTTGTAGACTACAGGGACGTTCTTGTACTCTGCGGCTTCGCTGGGAGAGAGTTGAATGTGGGCATATACCCATGCCTGAAGACGTTAATTTGGAAGTAGTTAGCTGAGCTGAAATAACATACCTTCGAAACACACTGGTCTTGCAGATCGACAAGCACGGGACTCCATGCACCAGCCGCAAGAACCACCTTGTCAGCGTAATACCTTGTGCCATCCACCGTTTCAACACCAACGCACACACCTTCAGCCAAAAGAGGCTGCTTGAAGGATCCTGCTCCACCGAAGCCGAATTTGACGCCTTGATCGCGCAGATACCCACCAATGGCATCGATGGCCTTTGCTGCAGCAAGCCAGCCGCCGTCATCGCTATAGACAGCTTTCCAACCTTTGATCTGTTCGCGATCTAGGAGTGGGATCTTCTTCAAGATCTCGTCCTCCGAATCTAGCCATTCTGTTGTCGTCTCTAGGCCAGCACCCGCGTCGAGAAGAGCCTGGTAAGCTTGCTTGAGGTCCTTGAGACCCTTTTCACTGTGGGCGCAGTCAAGCTGCAAATACCATTAGTCTCTAAATATATTTCTTGCTAGGTTGCGCTTGAAATACTCACTCGACCGGTGTTGTGAAAATATTCTTTGAACAGATCGTCTTCTTTCCACATCTGTCTCGCCTCCAGACTCAACTGTAAGTCCACTTTGTTCCGCAAGCGGATGCCCATGATCTTGTTCAAGTCATTTCCAGCCGATTGTGACGATGGTATTGGGTACGTGTCTAGCACTGTGATGTTTGAAGGTTTGTATCCTGAGCGTACGAGATGTAGGGCTGTCGACGACCCTATCGTCCCGCCACCACCAGCAACGATGACGGACGTAGTCTCTCGCGACGGTGCCATGCTGAACTATCAAAGTCTATCGCGCTTGAAATGGCTCGCGTGTTGGAATGGGGAGGCGCTGCCGGAAGTCGTTATCAGTAACGACCCACGATGTAATCCCGCCGGTTAAGTATCCCTAGAGGCTGCACACGCCACCAGCACGGTGACACGATGGCGACGCATTCTCCACGCGCCAGATGCGAGCACGCGAGGTTTTGATTGAGTAATTGAGGCCTGACGTCCCAAGTATCGCGGCCGTTCTCGCTTGGCGATCCCCGACTGTTACCCCTTCCAAACGGGGTTAGGCTGGCGGACGTCAGCGATGCGTCAAGCCCGGGCGGTTTCTCCGATTCTGCCCGGTTTGGGGATGAAGCAGGGCCACGACCTTCCATGCTTGACATTGCGATAACGAAACCGGGTCTATGCAGCCAAAGGGCGATATCAACAAACCTCTTCTCTATAAAACTCGCCCTCAACCCGCGGAGCACCTGAACAGCTGACTCACGCCTTGCATCAACCCGACATCGAAGCCTCGCAACCATGTCTAGCGCAAGCTTACCATTCCTTAATCACATTAGTTCCCAACCTCCACTTTTCCAAACTGTTCGCACTTCCATATCCAGCCTAGTCTACACTCTCATCTAAACAGCCCTTTCCCTCGGAAACCGGTCTATCACCGGAGCGATTGACTCCACAAGTCACTATCAGCTGGACGGGAACGACTCGTTTACCCCAGCTTGGGGTAACATAGTTCCGGGATCCACAGATAAGCCGATGCTGGTCGCGCGGACAGACGGTAGGAGGTAGATGTGTGCGGGAGGGACATGGTGTATATAAAGGTCGCGTGCGATGCCTTTGATCTCGCCTCAGCTCGAAGCTCAGTCGCATCTGCTCCGTATCGTTTTTGGTCTTCCCAGTAAGAGTATTTCAAGATGTCTAAGTTCGACGCTGCTCCTCCCAACACACATGCCGGCGGCGACGACGATGCGCTCCGCACAAAGGGCAACGACCCGCTCAACGCTCCTCCAACATACGATGTCGCCGACGAGAGAATCAACATGGAAGAGTATGCTAGAACAGTTCCAAAGTGGAAGAGAATATGGCAGCACAGCTTGACGCAGATGCTGCTACTCAGTGTGCAGGCTTTCTGCGGTCCTGCGATGGCTGATGCTATTGCTGGTAAGTCGTCTTTGAGCTCATGAAACGGTACTTGGAATTGATAAGTTTGCAGGCCTTGGCGGAGGTGGTCTCGCTACTCCCCAGACTTCGAACATCGCGACCGCTGTCAACTACACCATGCTTGCCGTCTGTTGTGCTCTCGGAGGACCCATCGTCAACAAACTCGGAACGAAATGGGCTTTGGTCATCGGCGCCTGCTCGTTTCCAATCCGCGGCTCTTCCTACTACTGCAACTCCAAGTTCGGAAACCAATGGTACTTGATCTTGGGCGGCTTCATAACTGGTATCGGGACCGGTGCTTGGTATGTTGCAGAATCCGGAACTATAATGTCACTCGCGCCAGCTGGATCTCGTGGCAAGTACCTCGCTCTTTGGATCGTTGCTAGAAACTTGGGACAGCTTGTCGGTGGTGCTATCAAGTGAGTTCTGCAGACTGGAGCCCAGTTCGCAGCAGCTAAAATCTGTGTCACAGTCTGTCAAAGAACCACGAGAAAGGTGTCGAAGGAGGAGTAACGCCAGATACCTACGTCGCCTTTTTGATCATCGAATGTATGGCCTTGCCATTCGCCTTCCTCATCTCACCTCTTGAACGAGTCGTACGCTCAGACGGAACGCGTATCCTCGTCTCTGAGAAGATCGGTACCATTATGGAGTTCAAGCAGATCAAGATCACGATGACGTCGAAGCTTATTTTGCTTTCCGCATTCTGGGCCATATGGTCGTTCTTCTACAGGTCAGTCAACGCACGATCATAAAGGAGCAGCAGCTAATCGGCTATCAGTGGGACATGGTCGACCTATCTTGGAACCTACTTTAGCGTCCGCGCCCGCGCTCTTTCCTCCCTCATCTCGCCATTCTTCTGTATCGTCGGTTGTTTCGGTCTGGGTTTCATACTCGATCTCAAGGGTGTTAGCCAGCGTCGTCGTGCACAGATCGGTCTCTTTACCGTCGTGCTTCTCAACCTCGGTGTCTACATTTGGTCCATCGTCATGCAAGTCGGGTTCAACAGCAATGACCCAGGCAAGATCGACTGGGATGACTCGCTGTATGCGCGTTCTTTCTTGCCATACTTCTTTGTGCAGACGACTGGTCCTCTGTCGCAATCTTACATGTACTGGCTACTCTCTTCTTTCGCAACAGACGCTCAAGGTATGTCTCCTCATTCAGAAAGTCCTCTTGATTCAGTCGCTGATGATATACAGCAAACGTACGTAATGGTGCAGCTTTCCGCTGTCTCGAGGCCATCGGACAAGCCATCTCCTACGGAATGAACACCCAAATCAAGACATCCCCTCTCATCGGCTTCTGCGTCACTTTTGGCTTGATGGCACTTGCGCTGGGTCCGATGCTGGTACTGGTGAACCAGACGCCAGATCGCATCCCCGCTGATGTGATTGCGGAAGAGCAGTACCGCGAAGAGAAGAAGATCGGTAATGTGAACGTCGAGACCAAGGTATAAGGCCTGTTTAGTTAACGATATCTCGATGAGATTGGAATGGAATTCTCTATGCCCTCGTAGTATAAAGTCAATACAATGCCAGAGACGGGTTCGACATTGCCATCTGACATATGCACCAGCTGTGTGACATTGCAACTAAATATGCATAGTTGATTCCTGGCATATAGGATAGCAACACTCTGGGTGATGCTTTGCTGCAGATATGATTAGAAAACAATAATGTCGGAGTGTGTACATGATCTAGCCGCAGAGGTTAGAGATTAGTCTTTTTCCTCCGCGACAAATAACTAATCAGTCGCTAAGACATTACAAGCTTTTATCTAAAAACCTTCGCATAAATTGCGGCATGGATCGTGGCCACACATAGTGCGGCATGTGAAAGAGAGAAATGTATTAATAAGCTGCGAGTCGCCCTTCGGATTGCCGTCACTAGAACCACCCACTGCACTAGCTAAAAATGATTTCATGTTGTTTTGATGGATTCAGTCTCTTCGCTGAATACGCTTTGCACCCAGACACATTAGTGCATGAGTGGCGCGTCAGGGAGCTTGACTTCTAGCCTCATTGCCCATGTTCGATATTCTCGTGGAGCGGCATGACCCTTGCAACTATATCCCATTGAATACAAGCTTCAGGCCGGCACTTAAGGTTGTATGCTAAGACGCGTGTTGCTGATGAGCTAAGCACTAGCCGAATGGGGAAAGACATGGAGCTTTGTTGGCAACGGGCCGATCGATGAAGTATGCGAGTGTTTGGACATGTATCAGATAGTGAATTGAGCCAGACTGGCGGCTTCCTTACGTGCGTACAGCGGGAGAATTCATGTATACCTGGCCGACACGATTAAAAAACAAGTGTACATAAAGACAGTATTGGGCGAGCAATAGAGGTCAACTTTCATTGGCTATCACAGCAGCCTTGCTACGTCCCTTTGTTTGTCAAGCCCTCATTTTCACATTTCAAGATGACTATCACAGCAGAGAACAACTTAGAGTACCGCCAGGGTAAGCTCTTCGTGCACGCCATCGAGGAGAAAGCGCAATGGATACCGAACAACATGTACATGCGTTATGCGCCGGATGACTGGTTGCACAGCGGTTACAAAACGATTACATGGAAGCAATACGCAAGTGCCATCGATAAGATGGCTTTCTGGTTTGACGAGCGGCTTGGTAAAGCGGTGGATTGCGAGACGATTGCTTATTTCGGGCCCAACGATCCACGGTATGCCATCTTGATACCAGCTGTTGTAAAGAATGGACGGAAAGTAAGTGTCAGATCGTTCGGTGTGACCTCACGGCTGACAGCCTCTGTATTTGCTGATTCCCGATGGACGAGTGACCAAAGAGGGGCTTGCGGGCTTGATTAAAGCGAGTAGTTGCAAAGTATGGCTCTATCCAGAAGACGATGCCGTAGGGCCGTTGGTCGATGCAGATTCAGGCTTGAAGCTATGTGCTTTGCCGTCGCTTGAATGGATGCTTGACAACGGAGGCCAAAAGCGATACACGTATGACAAAACGTTTGGAGAGGCCAAATGGGATGAAATCGTCATCATCCATACATCAGGCACTACTGGTAAGCTGTCTGAAATGATCTGTTATCTCATAAGCTCACTTCTCTTTAGGCGAACCCAAGCCTATCTTTCACACAAATGGCATGTGGAGCGGATTAGGGAATGTGCCGATACTGAGTCGAAGACATTGGCCCCGCGGCATTGAGTACGAAAGCTGGATCGGGAAGACGTCTCTCAATCCATGTCCACCGCAATGGATAGCCGGCTTACATGCGATGGTTTTGAGCCCGCTCTTCCTAGACAGTCCCTGCGTCATGACGCCCCGGGACGAAGTTTCCCTGACTCCTAACCTGTTCAAGAAGATCGTGTCGATGAACAGAATTGAAGGCATTAGGTAAGTTCTGACTGTACGAAGTGCATATGAGACATATACTGACTTCGTACCTCTACCTCTGCAGATGCCCTCCATTCACTATCAATAGCCTCTACGCGGACCCAGAAACTCGACAAATGCTGAAGTCACTGGACTTCATTGTGTACACGGGTGCACCCTTGGATCGAGCGATTGGGGACGACCTTTGTCAGCATACGAGATTGAGCCCGATGATTGGCTCCACGGAAAATGGAGATCAGATTGGCCTACGACCAGCCGATAGAAAGCTCTGGTATACCCATGACTTTGTTCCAGAAAATGGTCATAGGATGGTGCCTTTGGACGCAGGCTCGGACGGTCTCCACGAGCTCATATTGGAGCAGGTTGGAGATGGGCGTACCAATCCTTTTCAGACATCCTTCTGGAACACAGCACATCGTTTCCTGGAGCGGATCGAAACGAAGGAGCTCTACAGGCCCGTCAAGGACTCTGACGGTCGCACGCGATGGGCGTTTTCTGCCCGCAAAGACGACTTGACGAAGCTGAGTTGGCTGGCAAAGTTTCATGCGCAGGATATTGAAAGGCGTATTTTGCAACATCCAGACGTCGAAAATGTGCTGGTAGGTGGAGAAGCCCGGCCTGCGCCGTATGTTATCGTTCAGGCAAAGGAAGGTGTGCTGGACGGAAAGAGCGAGGTGCAGTTGCTTGATGAGCTTTATGATGGGGTTATTGCTGCCACCAATAAGGCTGATTTGAGTGAGATCAGAATTCCCAGGGAAACGATCATGATTGCGAAGAAAGAGAAGCCGCTCAAGGTCAGCTTGAAGCAGTTGGTCCAGAGGAAGGCTGTTGAGCAGGACTATTCGGAGGAAATCGAGCAAGCATATGTGCGGCTGGAGAACAGCAGGAAGCCTTAGGCCCATCAAATGATATTTGACCTCTCCAGCAGCCGATCCTTCTTCGCGACATGTTGTTTGGTGTGGTGTCTTAAGTCGAGTCAGCCGAACCTAGGTGCCTAGGAAGGCGCGTCTGGCAAAACGCGCTAACGGCATGAACCTCGGCATGGCCAGTGATGATGTCGGCCGTTGCGGTTGAGTTACTCCGCATTTCAGGAAGGAGCGCCCATAAACCTTGAGGTGTCTTCTCAGCTAGAAGACTAAAAACTCTGTTTTATCTCCCAAGTGAACGCGGTATTTTAAGTACAATGTCTTACTCCAAGCGCATCGATCAGATTGCAGGCCATCTCAACTACCCCAAGGGTATGTTAGCTGGCCAAACCGCCATTATCACTGGTTCAGGACAGGGAATCGGCGCCGAGGCTGCGAAACTGTTTGCGAAGGAAGGCGCGAAGGTTGTGGTTGCCGATGTAGATGCCAGTAAGTCAATGCAGTCGCTGCATGCAAACACGGGCTGATGATGTTGTAGAGAAGGCAGAATCGGTAGCTGCGGAAATCAACGAGTCTGGTGGCAGCGCCCTGGCTGTCGCAGGCGATGTGCTCGACGACGCCTACATCAAGACGCTTATTGCAAAGGCCGCTGAGTTCGGAGGCGGCAAAATCCACATCATCGTGAATAACGCCGGCTACACATGGGATGGCGTCATCCACAAAATGACGGACAAGCAATGGCACACGATTGTCGACCTGCACGCGACAGCGCCTTTCAAGATTGTGAGGGCTGCGGCGCCATATTTCAGGGTCAAGGACGGCGAGCCGAGGAATATCATCAACATCTCCAGCACAAGTGGAGTGAACGGCAATGCTGGACAAATCAACTACGCCCTGGCGAAGGCGGGTGTGACCGGCATGACCAAGACCATTGCGAAAGAGTACGTCTTCCCTCTCTCCCTCGAATGTATTTCCCTCTAACGTGTCTGCAGATGGGGTCCTCAATTCGGCGTGCGCTCCAACACAGTAGCCTTTGGACACATCCAGACACGGTTGACGGCGGCGAAGGAGGCGGGCGCATTTATCACCACGCCCGACGGCGAGAAGGTAGCGCTGGGAATACCACAGGCGCAAAAGGCAGGCGCAGGGCAGGGCCAGGAGCACATGGACATTCCTCTGAGGAGACCGGGCACGGCGACCGAGGCGGCGAGTGCCGTGCTGGCGGTTGCGAGTCCGCTGTTCAGCTATGTAAACGGAGAGACGATCAAGGTGACTGGAGGGCGCGGCATGTAGAAAAGTGCAAGCCTCGTGCGACACCTGACAAACTTCTTTCCAAGCTCAAACACATGCCGTGGTGATGCAGTCGCAAAGATGGACAGCTATGGTTTCAACTACCAAGATCTTGGACAGGGTCTCGGCACCCATGTTCCGCTCCGCCATCCCCAGATGCTGGATGCACATCAGCCACCTGCATCCGACAAGACGCAGCCCCTCGTCCGCCTTCTTCTTGCCTGTATTGATATAGTTGTCGTCGTTCCTTATACCCGTCCACCATGTACATGCCGAATCGATAGCCCATCTACCCGATTACCCTTCAAAGCATACGCGTACGCAGCATTCGCTTCCTGCGGACTATTCGCCGCGGGCGAGCGAGCATCCCTTACCACGACACCGCGCACCACGTGGACGACGACACCCTCACGTGGTTCTAGCTCGCCATGAGCGACGAGAAACATGGCTACGTCCGCGAGCCATCTCCTCCACCCATCCCCACATACGACGAGGCAACTTCCTCGCGCAACGCCCCTGCGCGCCTCGGACCCAACGAGACCAGCGACGATGCCGAGCGGCAAGGCCTCCTGAGCCCGGATGTGCGCATACAAGCCGATCCGCGCAGGCGCAATGGATACTACCAGGCCCCCTCCGTACAGTCGGTCGACGACGATGGCGACTCGGATCTCGGGAGTCCGGTGCGAGAGAGCCAGGACGAGGACCTGCGCCAGACCATGGAGGAGATGGACATTCTAGATCCAGAGTCTGCTGAGGAGGGGCGCTCGAGGCGGAATCGATCAAGAGGCAGGTTCTCGAAACGCTTCTACAGCATCAGACATTCCCTATCGAGTTGGAATCTGCCGCGAATACCCTGGCCCAGCTGGCGTCCCAATTTCAGCGCCATGACGGACCACATACCGACGATACCGGAAGAATATAAGCCGGGATGGTCGATTATCGCGCGACTGTTCGGTCTCATACTGATCATCGTCCTGGTATACCTGCTGGTCGTCAGCGAGGTGGTGCCCATGGGCGGAGGATTCGGCACGCCATTCAACCCCGAGTGGGTGCGTTCGACGGCTATGGAGAGCGTCGAGAGCTGGCGAATTGAGAAGAATCTGGAATACATTACAAGCTACGACCACATAGGGGGCACTGAGGGGAGTTATGTGCTGGGGCAGTGGATCGAGGGCAAGTTCAAGGATGCGCACATGGACACATATACCCACGACGAGTACGTTACACATTGTGAGACGCCACAAAGGATCACGCTAACTTCAGCAGGTACTACGTATACATGAACTATGCGAAGAAGGGCGGACGGAGGGTCGCCATCGTCGAGCCACAGGATAAGAAGTGGGAGGCCAAACTCGAAGAGCCGTCCGTCTTCAATCCTGCCAAAGCGCAAACGCCCGCCTACCATGGCCTATCTGCGACAGGAAACGCCACCGGGCCCTTGATATATGTCAACTACTGCGACAAGAAAGACTTCAAGCGATTATGGGATAGCGGGGTGGACGTACAAGGAGCGATTGCGCTCTGCCGATATTACGGAACACAGCCAGATCTATCCATGAAGATCAAGGCTGCGCAAGATGCTGGGGTTGTGGGAGTCTTGGTATACTCGGACCCAGCAGATGACGGCTTCAAGAAGGGGAATCCCTGGCCAGATGGCAAGTGGCGGCCTGGAGACAGCGTGCAGCGAGGATCCGTCGGACAGACAAATATGATTATGGGGGATGTGCTCACGCCTGGACTGCCGAGCTTCAAGAAGGTGGAGCGCATGCCCCGAGACAAGAACCCGGCCTTGCCAAAAATCCCAAGTCTACCGCTCTCGTGGAAGGATGCGCAGAAGCTGCTCAAGTCGCTCAAAGGCTCAGGCGAGCAATTGCCAGATGAATGGATTGGTGGTGTACCGGATGTTGGTGAGCACTGGTATTCTGGTCATCCAAAGACTTCGCCAAAGGTGTTCCTGCAAAACGACCAGGATGAGGTCGAACAACAGCGGATCACCAATGTTTTCGGATCTCTCAAGGGCAGCGAAGATCCGGCTAGCAAGATCATAATCGGCAACCACCGCGATTCCTGGTGTTTCGGTGCGGCAGACCCTGGCTCTGGCACGGCTGTCATGCTCGAAGTTGTACGTGTACTAGGCGAGTTGCGCTCGCAAGGATGGCGACCGCTCCGCACAATCGAATTTGCGTCCTGGGACGCTGGTGAATACAACAGAATCGGCTCTACCGAGCATGTTGAAGCCAACGTACAAGCCCTTCGAGATAGCGCCATCGCCTACCTGAATGTCGACGTAGGTGTAACGGGTGACAAGCTGTGGGCCAAAGGCTCTCCGATCTTCCAACACGCCTGGACGCGCGTGCTCGACCGACTTTCCGACCCCCGGGAGAACAAGACTATGAAGGAGCTGTGGGAGACCTCGGACTCCAAAATTGGTAACCTAGCTGCTGGAAGCGACTACGTTGCTTTCCAATCCATTGCTGGTACCTCCTCACTCGACTTCGGCTTCACCAGCAAAGAGGGTCAATCAAACCCCATTGCGCGCAGCTGCTACGAGACTCTCTCCTGGATGCGCAAATACATCGACCCCGGTTTCGCTTACCACGCCGTGCTCGCCCAACTCTGGGTTCTTCTCATCCTCGAGCTCGCTCAAGAGCCCATCATTCCTATGAAGATTGATGACTACGCCCGCGCTCTGCAGGAAGAAGGCCAGCAGTTGTTGGACTGGACCGAGAAGAAAAGCGGTGGTGGCGAGTACGACATTGAGATGTTCCAACCTCTAGTCGACAGTCTGAGCATGTTCAAGAAGAAAGCAGAGACGTTCGGTCGGTGGGAACAAAGCTGGTATAACCAAGTCTATGCCACTGGTGGCTTCGAAAGTAGCGGTGTCACAATACAAAGGGTAGGCCACAATGGGAGGATCGCAGGTTTCGAAACAGACTTGCTTGATCTCGCGAGGGGAAAGGACGACAAGGGGCCGCATGGTGTAAGTTTCTCGCCTCCGCCATAAATATGGTTATCAGTAACTAACACACAGACAGTTGCCCAACCGCGATCAATACAAACACGTCGTATTCGCCCCCGACCTCAACAACGGCCTCGAAGCCAGCGTCTTCCCTTTCGCACGTGAAGCAATCGAGAAGAAAGACTGGGATGCTGCATCCAAAGCCATCAAGAAGACGGCGGATATATTGAACCGCGCGAGCGACCGGCTCGGCTAAGATATGTGTGTATATGTACAGCAAAGTTGCATTTCCGCGGTGTTTGGGCGTAGCGAAAGACTGGCTGCATAACATTACTGGGTCGGGGATATATCTCGTATCTAGTGCCGGGCCTCGGCTTTCTCATATGGGTGTCATATTTATCTCTGTTTGGTGACCTTCGTCATCATCGCTAGCTAAGAGGCTGTTTGTTGGGCCACTTTTTCACGTGCTTGTGCTAGCCTGACTCTGTCCACGTCTATATAAAGTCTATTCTCTGTGCTCTTCTGCTTCAATTATCGTCCTCCCTTATTTCGCCATCCTTATGAACATAACAAAATGCCACTCGCTTGGATGATGCCCAGGTGTCGGTGAGAATTCTGCTGCTTTCCAAAAACATTCACCGTACTCTATATGATGGCTTCTTATCCACGCTCTCAATATCTCAAAAGGCGGCCTAGGCGTCGGTCTGTTCTTCTGTGCGTGCCTAAAAAACAGAGTGCCACGTACCGATGTCCTTCTTCTTTTGTTTCAAGCAGTCGTACATGGATGGTTGTGTGATTCCCTAAAAGATCTGCAATCCTACCAGTGCATAGACTCGGGCCTCTCTGATTTTTATTTTTATTTGAATTGGAATGAAGTTCATGCCGGATTCTAATATGACTGCCGACTGTGTCGCTGGTCTTGAAAGTGTCAAAGCATCAAAAGTACATGCGACAGAGTGATGAGTTCACCATCTACCATTTCCAAAAAAGCGCAACCCGATACTCATGTCTACCCTCTCGCTCTTCTTCGCGGTCTGAAATGTCAGATACCGTATACACTCCATCGGTTATCTCCCATCGCATACCGTTGCTCAAAAGCGAATTGAAATACCTCCTCCGGTTTATGGATGCCTCTGCATATTCTCGAAAAACCGATGGGAAGTGTGATGCAGACTTCAAAACACTGAGCTTCTGAGTCTATGGTCTTCGTTGCATGTCGCAGTGTTTACAAGTGTTCAATGCTTCATGTAAAAGCTGGCAGTTAGTTCTGAAGGACGATATCGAACTACATCCGAAGAGGAATAGAGTTTGGTGTGAGTGATATATAAGTCGCTTGCCTGCTCGATACCCAACTCATACCATCATACTCATCGTCTCCGGGTATCCAAAAAACTACCTGCTCAAGTGGATGTCTGTTTCCTCGGGAATCTTTTTCTAAAAAGCCACAATACATAGCATGGCGCTTCTTCTCTTAAAGATGACTATAGTAAAGTTATGGTTCTGTTGTTGTCCCGCAAGCCTCCAAAAGCTTTCCTCGTACCCTACATGTGAGCTTTGGAATCGAAGCAAGTTTCGAGCAGATGCATGACTGTTCATGCGATACACAACTTCAATACTTCTCACTCTATCTCTCAAGGAAAGCTTAAATATCTTTACCAACACGTCATGTGCAGTCTCTCAAACATAGCAAGCATAGAAGAATGGAGAGAGATCCTGTCGCTCTTTCGACTGAGGGAGTACAGGTACTTTGTTCGGAGAAAGCCGTTCCTCATCTGTTGCCTAGTGTGCACTACCCGAGCGGACGAGCTGGAGCAAAACGCGAGATACGCTGGCAGATGATCCAGAGACTTGATCGTACTGCCTTTGTATAAAGATCTGAAACTAAAGCGGCATGTTTGAGCGGAACTACGTTTGCCACGTGCCTATGACGGTCTTCGGACTTGAGTACAAAATCTTCGCCGTCTTGCTAGATCGTCTTTTCTACAACGTTGAATAGGCTGGCTCGTTCCCTGGATCAAACGCCTTAATAAGCATGGAGCAGGCCAAATCCTCTTTCCAAAATCTTCCCTAGAAGTGCCCATGGTTTGATATCGAGGTCGCTACAATATCGAATTGGCAGTCGCGTGCCACTGGATGATCAGATACGGAGTCAAATGTTTCGATTCAATTCGTGATTTGGGTCATGAGCTGCCAAAACAGGCCATATTGGAAGACATGTCTTTCCCCTTTGCTCACATCTTTCTCTGGGCTCAATTTCTGGATTTGAGCGGAAGTAGCCCCTACACGATTCAACAAGGTATAAAGAGGCGCCCGCTGGAGTGATACACCTTCATTCTTGTCAAGTTCGCATTGAAATAATTCTCCGAAAGAGTTAGAGCAGACAGTCATGTTGTTGCCTCTAGCTCGGCAATTGAAAGTCTCGCTTCTACCAGGACATGTTCGTAGGTGGACCTGGCTGTACACAATAAAGAATGTCGAATCCGCAGTCATGGCCATCATTTGTTCTTATTTCCTACCTGTTTGCATCTGCGGAGTAAGCAGAAGCTGGGGAGATTGCGGGGTAGAAAATGCCTGGCCAGGTGGGAAAAGAAAAGCGTGGCGGTTCTGAGCGATACCTGGAAAAAGACGGCTACATGTTTCCTGTCTCTTGCATGGCTTACACCGTACATTGGCATGCTTCGAAAAAATCCCACGATTCTAGGCCTGGAGGAAGTATGCCCATCGCTTACGTGCCGGAAAGCTGACTACAATGACGCTTCGTTTAATCGCAAGGCGGGGGTGCCAGCTCCGAGAACGATACCAACGATCGACGATCGAGTAGCATCCGAGCGTTTGGGGGCGCATATTGTGTCTCGCGTCCTGGTGTGCGACAGCGGCTTCGAGATAGTATGTCAGTAGTATGAACCTCTATCGGCGCAATCTCTTGCTAGGTGAAGCCGAAAGTTTCCAAAGTTGTCTCATGGGCTCGAGCTCGCTTTCCTGGCGAGGAAAGCAGCAACCTCAAAAGTACCGGGAGCCCGTAGATCTGGTAGCAGGGTCAACGTGCGAGTAATGATGGTGCAAATCTCCACGTTGTGACTGTGTGAAGCGAAGCCCATGTCCCAGCTGAACACTGCCGCGGCTGCAACCGAAAAACGTGGAGTCAGGCAGGCGCTAACGACGCTAAGTGGCTGCTAGCTGTCACTCATCAATCCTTCAGCGGCATCTCGGCCGCGCCGACAAACTTCTCATAACAACATCGGCGCGTGGACAAAACAACGCACTGGTCAGTCATGCTGTTCTGTCATCGCTTGCATCTGAGTTCGGGTCCTTGTTCTACACATACCTGAGCGCTGCGCTGGCCAGCACGCCACCACAGGACGCCATGCAACTTCCAGATTGACCAAAAGAGCTTTTAGAAAAGAAAACACGAAGGATCTCGTCAGGTACCGGTCTGAGGTGCCGCTAACCGATGCGCTGCACAACACATCTCTCGCTTCGAGCGCACTCATCCGGTGAAAATAAAGGCGCTCTGAATTCGATACAGCCATCAAGCCCAAAACACCTCATCGCGTTAGCGTTCAGCCCTAGCACCCCTAAGCAAATCAGCCCACGCGGCGAAGAGTGCCGCTTGGGACATTCGACTATTCTCACTCGCACGGAAGCTCATCCGCTGACGAGACAAAACATCAGGCCCATGATGCCAAGTCTCGTGGCTTGCGTTGCTGGCCTCAGGAAAGTTGTAGCGTTGCTGCATTTGTTCGATGAGAAAGCCACCAGCTGAAGTTTCAGCACAATGTGGATTCTTGAAAGGCTAGAATGGCTCGACATGGGAAACTTTGCTCGCTTCTTTGCTTGGGGAAATGGATGACAAGGTGGTGTGCTGGTTTGTATAAGGAGACTGGAGCGCCGCGATGGTGTTGAGGTGTAACTGCATCCTCCAGGCGCTACAAATACGCTCACACTCGTTTTTCTCTATCGCAATTAGCTGGACGACATACCACGTTGACGTACATTCATATAAACCTCTTCCAATCACTGTCACAGCCCTCTACAGCATCGGTCAACCACACCTCAGCCAACGCCAACCACCATCTTTCGATCACAATGTCAGGACCGTCAGGTAAACTCGGCGGTCTTTCCACCAGTGTCGTCGCCATCATCGCTGTCGGTGGTGTAGCAGGCCTGCTAGCCCTCATTGTCGTTACGTCTCTCATCTTGGACATACCAAAGCGTATGAAGCAAAAGAAGAACACTGGCCTCATGGCACCAGAAGAGATGGAGAAGAAGAGTGTAGAGATTGACGACGCGGAAAAGGGTGCTATCAAGCAAGCGACAAGAGAGATATCAGTTCAATCCCCGAGCTTGTATTCAAGCACATATATTGCTCGGCCAGCGTCGCCAGAGTGTCAATGCGCCCACCCATCGATAGTCGTACATCCCTCGCCAGTCTATTCGAATACCACAACGTTAAGATGAGTTTATCGGCACTACATTTAATGTTCTACGACACCTTTCTGTGAATACTTTATCCATTCGCACACGTCTACACCGCCCGGGTGGGACCGGGTCAGAGGACATTTTACATTCCAAGGTTACCTTCGGCGTTAAGACCTGGAATGTTCTTATAACCTTTCAAAAAAATTGTTCAGATGAGACGAGAGCGTCACGGCCGGAAGTTCGATACCCTGTTTGATGGATGTTCGGAGTTAACTGTTATCACCGTTGGGTAACGCAAGGCTGCGTGTCATGATACTACGTGAAAGCCCCATACACCACGGTCTAATCCTACTTGAGTACGATTATCGGACACTCTGTAGTATACAAAGCAGATTGTTCACTTATGTCACTGCGTTTCGGGACATCATTCGGCCGAATTGCATGTGTTACACAACACCTGCATGATCGCTTCCATGCAGCACGGTAGATTGCAACTGTCCACAATTGCTCGGCGTCAGCACTTACGATAGTAATGAAGAAACCAAAATCACTCATCAAGAAAGAAGACCATTGTTGTTCGTCGAAACCTCTATGATCCGTTCAGACGTGCAATGTTGACACGCTGCGCAGTACGCACCTGTGCAGGCTAGTGCGAAAGGTCGTCGGTCTTTCCGTAGCGCGCATCTCACGACAATCTTATGATGGAGCGGGATTAGCACTGTGTTAACGCATAGCATCGTCAGCGCAAGAAGTCTTCGGTAATAAGCGCTAACCGGGCGAGGCCACCGTCATCCTCGACGTTGCCCAGTTGTGTATCTAGACCGGACGACTTTTCGCCCTACCAAGGCAGCAGTCATGGCCGCTCCGAAACATGCGGGTGCGACTACACGGTACTACCGCTTACTCACGCATGATAAGATGTGGAGATATACTCAGCAGGTATAAAGACTGAGTATTCTTTGCACATCAAAGTCAGCAATTCAACCAGAACATACGAGCTTCAACCTCTTGGAGTCTCTCACGATCTTACTGCACTTCCAATACCTCCCACATTCACTACGCTGAACACATCATCCAAGATGGCAGACTTCAAGCCGTACAGCGAGCAACCCGAGCTCCACGCCAAAGCACCCTACCGTGCCGCTATGCTCACGCAACCTGCAAACCTCAAACAAGCACTTAAAGACGCCCAGGCAGATGCGAGTAAGACCCTCATGGGCATTGCACAAGGTATCCCAAGCACCTTTGTGACCAAGTTGATTGCCTCCACCAAGCCGGATTTCATCTGGATGGATGTTGAGCACGGCATGTACAACAGGTTGACGTTGCACGAGTAAGTTCTCTTCGATCCAATTGCGACAAGACTTTGAGAACTTGAATGTGTATAAGAAACCAATGCTAACCTTCACGATAAAGTTGCATTCACGCAGCTCAGCATCATTCCGAGGGTAAATCAATGGTCATCTGCCGTGTACCGAAGCACGATGAGCTCAGCCTTACCACTGCCCTCGACGCAGGATGCGCCGGTATCGTCATCCCACATGTAGAGAGTGCGCAAGAAGTCCGAGACTTCATTAAGGAAATGTACTTTGGCGGTATGTCCCTCATATCTTTACCATCACCACCTATTCTGACACAATATGTCTTCCCAGGCGGCAAAGGCCATCGTTCATTCAGCCCTTGGACATTTACACCTGGTATGGTACAATCGCTCTACCCCAACGACCCCTACAACGTTCAAACGGCCAACAACCACGTCTGCCTCATCCCCCAGATCGAATCTCTAAAGGGCCTTGAGGCTTGCGAAGAGATTGCTGCTGTAGAGGGCATTTCCGGTCTCATGTTTGGTCCTGGCGATTACATGATTGACGCTGGCATGGACATACATTCATTCATGAACGGAAACCCCGATCCGAAGTTCTTCGAAGCCATGGGGACATTCAATGCGGCGGCTGCCAAGTATGATCTGCCTATCTTTGGGTACGTATATCGCATGTTACTTCGTATTGGGCCAGACGGCTGACGGATGCTTTAGTGGTGTGATGGGGCTCGACCAGATACCCATGGCTATCCAAACTGGTATGCGAGGTATCGCAGTGCAATTCGATGTCTGGGGTACTACACGGCTCTTTGCGAGTTCTTTGGAAGCGGGCTGGAAACATGCGAAGAGCTTTGAGGGAAATCCGAAGCCGAGTATGGCGAACGGACAGGCGAAGCCGGCTGAGTAGGTAGAGGCTTATGACTGCTATCAGAAGACAGGCATCTCGTTTTTCCCCTATGACTTTCGCCCGCCAGCGGTATTCCGTGATGCATAAGGCTGAAGACATCAGGCTGCCAAGCTCAACCCCGATGAGTAATTCTTCCAACATCTTATCCGAAAAAGCACACTCATTGGTGAGGCCTCGCTAGGTATTACTAGATCCGGTCCCTGGCTATCCAAACGCTGAGGTTTTATCGCTATTATGAGAACAGGCGCCAATTATAGGAAGAAGTGTAGTAGTTGGCTGAAGTGAACGGCTGGTGTGGTGTGGGGGCCGTCCGAGGGAGGTATGATTATCTTCTCGAGTTCCCCCTTGCCGGTCTCCTTATCTCCTCGTCCGTTATTATCGTGTGAATTGACGAGGCAACTTCAGACTCGTCGGTATCTTGTTTACTGCGCGCGTTTCGCAAACGTAGCTCCAGATCCCTACATTACAAGAATATGTCCCTCTTTGTCTCCGCATTCATCACGACGCTTCCCCCAGCGGTTGTGCCGTTTCCTACAACGCCTCCGGTGTCGCCTGTCACGCCGCAAAGGTCCAGCTCGACTCTAGGGACCTTCCCGATCACCGTTGTCTTCCCTTCCTCATCCTATGCTTCCTCTTCAACATCCGTTGCAATAACAATCCCAGCTACACAATCTTCAGTGACACCTTCCTCATCCGCACTTCCACCACCAAACACCATTGCGCCAGCTTCAACCTCTCCCAACACAGGCTTATCGAGCGGGGCAATCGCCGGCATCAGCATCGGAGCCATACTTGGGGTTCTTCTCATCGCAGTCGCCGCCTTCCTACTTGGAAGACGCAGCTCTACTCATCAGTCATCCGCAAGCGACCTTGTTGTTACTGAACGCGATGTTCCGATAGGTGGATACAAGGCAGAATCGGACGGACAGGGAAGAGCAACAGTGGAGCGTGAAGGACGAGGCATTGCGCGGTGGTGGAGCAAGAAGTTCAGCAAGAGTGTGAAAACAAGGGCTTTGAACGAGGCTGAACCACGAGACTTCTCGGCTGAAGAGGCTAAAGAGGCTAAAGGTGAAGGTCATGTGCGACAGGTACGGGTGCGAGATGAGGATTTGCCAGAATTCCGTGGGGTCTGAATGTCTTGTCTGAGACGTTTGCTAACAGTATTAAATGAAGCACGTTTCCCAGTCGCTCCTCCACCGCTGTTGCCACCGTGCATGACCATCGGAACACGCGAAGTGAGCAGTGATATATGGTAAGGATGGATCCGAGTTTACCGTAGTGCTGGGCGACAATCCTGAAAGCCATCGTTGCAGCGCACCCCAAAGAGGATATAGATCTTCCTGTCAGGTTAGGCGTCCGACGTGACGAGGCTGAGCGTGCTCCGCATCTTGTGAGTCTGCCAATCAGCCTTACCGGTTGGCGGGGCGGTTCCTCGCGTGCATGCACTTTTCCTGAAGGAGTTAGCTCTGTGCTACTCCAACGAGAGAAGGGTGGACATAGCCCTGAATTGCCATCACTGTGCTGTGATATAAGTAGAACGAGTAGATCGTCTCGCATACATAGTTAGTGCTTACTGCCTTTCCTTGACACAGGATCAATAAAGTATACGTTAGAGCAGAACTGTATATCAAGGGATTATACCCATCCCATCTTCATGTCCTTCCCAACTTCAGTATCGATTTCAGATTGCGAAAGAGACTCATCCGGAAGCTTAGTCTGTATGTCTAATCCAAGTAGCGAGTTCGGTCAGTATGCCTGCCTCCCTCACACATTTGAGTCTCTAATATGACGCCAGATGCCAGCCGAGATGATATGAAAGACACCTTCGGTGAGTCCGAAATCCGAATTTGCAGCCGTTTAATTTGACTGACATCAAATCAGACAAAGCCGTCGACGCGCAACAGAGGATGATCGGCATTGGTGTGGGTGTCGGAGTAGGACTGTTTCTTCTCTTCGCCGGCCTGGGTTTTTGGGCTTTCCGACGACATAGCAAGAAACGCTCGCGACAGATCAACCAGCAGGCGCAAATACAATCGGCTCTGATGCAACCGAGGATGCAACGGACGGATCCGCCGCAGTCCTGGATGAGGCAGGGCCAGGAAGTGGACGGCATGGTATACAGGAGTGAGGTCGAGGCTCAGGACAAGCAGCCTCATTACCAGTCACAACACTACCAAGAGATGAACGCGAATCCGTATGGGAACCAGTTCCAGGGTGGTCCAATGGTTGAAGCGCAGGGAACGCGGGATCCTCAGGAAATGGCGCTGAACCAGAGGCCGCCGCAGGAGATGCCGGGGAACGGGGCCTTTGGACAGCGCTGAACTAATTAACGTTATAATTGTATCGATTACCCGACATTGACATGTGATGCGACAGATAACAACATGCTACATGGGTCGCAAAGTTCCAAGTTTTTGACGGTCAAGAGTTTGGATGAGTCCAGCCTGTCGCGTCTGCCAGCTTCGCGTCGCGGGAGCCGTGGTCCGTGCACGACCAGCCATCACCCAACCACCACATTTCCAGCCCTCGAGAAATTGCGCAGCACGACAGCAGCTATGGATCTAATAAACGGATACCTACATCGTGATTCCCACACTGTGCTCTGCCAGCGCATACCCACACCGAAGCCGTGCTCAACACGTGTACACGACTATCAACGGCGCAGTCAATAAACCATCCCAATCCTTTCGATACCATGCTTCTCAACGCTCAGACTCTGGCACTGGCCGCTTTTTTCTCGACACTGGCTACCGGACGGCCTTTGGACTCGTCGAAGCCCCGTGAGATTGTCCCACGCAACAAGAGCTATTCGGTTGTCAATGTCGGTGGAGACGCCTCAACCCCGGTCGCAACAGCCACTTCGGTGATCAAAACGACGAAGACGGTCGAAGTCGTCGGACCGGCACAGACTGTCACCCAAGAAGTCACTGCGACTGTTGTCGAGCCTCAACCGGCGCCCGCGTCGACATCTAGCTGCAGCTCGAGCAGTATGTTGGAGTCGTCGTCGTCATCGTCAACACCCACACCAGTCTCGTCTACTCCTACGCCAACACCTACATCAACATCATCGGTCAAAACTACATCAACTCCTAGCCCATCGGTTCCCTCGCCAACATCAACTGCAACACCGACGATCTCAGGCCTGTCTTCCAGCAGCATCTCAACGCCAGTTGAGACGCCGAAGCCAATCTTCGTCACGGTCACGCTATCGCCAGACAATGGCCCCACGGAGTACTACGATGATGGCATGTGGCACACGCATTACCGCGTTAAGACGTTCGAAGCCGCTGCAGCTGTCACCGCGGCGCCATAGCTAGCTGCGTGATGTCTGCGGTCCAGGCTTCTTTGGTGTTTTTGCTTTGGCGGCAGACTGGCTCGACCCGCCTGTTCCTTTCTCCCTGTGTTTTACGATATACGATTAATGGCCGGAAGCCAGCCTAGTACGGCGAGGAGTTATATTATGAAGATTAGACACGTCTGTGGGACGAATGCCGATGTACCAATAGATTTAATAATAGACGCATGCACAAGCCCAAGTTCTGACCTGGCCGAGTGATGGTGGATGATGGTGTGAAGGCTGATGACGCAGGTCGAAGGGGAGCTTGCATCCCTGCGTGCTTGGCGAACGGTTACACCCAAGGCGGCGGTGCGTATCCACGACGAGCTCTCCACACCCCCGGACGATCCGCCTCTCTCGCTCACAATGGCGTCGCCGCCCCCCGTAGAAGACCAGGCCCGGCTGCTCGAAGATGCCCTGGCCGTGGTGCGCCAGCAGACGATGCTCATGCGGCGCTGCCTCGAGACGCCGGGCAAGCTGATGGATGCGCTCAAGTGCAGGTACGCGCCGCCATACTCTAAGCTCCGAGGGCCCCTCTGGTGATGTTTTGTGTGTGCTAATGACCCCCATGATAGCTCGACCCTCGTGTCGGAACTGCGCACCAGCAGCCTCGGCCCCAAGCAGTACTACGAGCTGTACATGGCCGTCTTCGATGCCCTGCGCCATCTCTCCGTCTACCTGCGCGAGAACCACCCCGTCAACCACCTCGCCGACCTCTACGAACTCGTCCAGTATGCCGGCAACATCATCCCGCGCCTGTACCTCATGGTCACCGTCGGCACCGTCTACATGGCCATTGAGGATGCCCCCGTCAAGGAGATCATGAAGGACATGATGGAGATGAGTCGCGGCGTCCAGCACCCCATCCGCGGCCTCTTCCTGCGCTACTATCTGGCCGGCCAGGCTCGCGACTGCCTTCCGTCGGGCGACAGCGAGGGGCCCGAGGGCAATCTCCAGGACTCCATCAGCTTCATCCTGACCAACTTTGTCGAGATGAACAAGCTGTGGGTGCGCCTGCAGCACCAGGGCCATTCCAGGGAGCGCGAGCAGCGGACCAAGGAGCGCCAGGAACTGCAGCTCCTTGTGGGCAGCAACTTGGTGAGGCTGAGCCAGCTGGTCGACTTGGACAACTACAAGAAGATCCTCAACCCGCTGCTGGAACAGATTGTGCAATGTCGCGATGTTTTGGCCCAGGAATACCTCCTCGAGGGTATGTATCCGATTGCCGACCTCTGGATATCACTAACCCGCAGCAGTTGTCACCCAGGTCTTCCCGGACGAATTCCACCTGCACACGCTCGACCAGTTCCTCTCCGCCGTCGCACGCCTGAATCCACACGTAAATGTCAAAGCCATCGTAGTCGGCCTCATGGACCGATTGTCGTCGTACGCGCAAAGAGAAGCCGAGTCGGAAAGCCCAGAGCAGCGCAAGAAGACGGAAGAGGAGTCAATAGCACAACTCATGGAGCAAATGCGGATAGCGAAGGAAAAAAAGGCCGCCGAACCCGAATCAGCGCAAGCGCAGCAGAACGGAGACGCAGAGGAACCCTCAGAGACGCAACCAAGCACCGAAGAAGACTCCGAAGAGGCATCGAAACCCGCAGAGACCTCCGCCGAGAACGACGAGACCCCAGCGACCGAGACAGATGGCGATATCGAGAAGAGACGCGGCATACCGAACAATGTCAAGCTGTTCGAGATCTTCCATGAGCAGGTGCAGACGCTGGTCAAGATGCAGCGGCTACCAATACAAGACACGATCGGACTATTGGTGTCGCTAGCAAATCTCGCCTTGTACGTCCCAGCATACTTCCTAAAATAGCGACGATACTAACATCCATAGGAACATCTACCCCGAAAGACTCGACTACATCGACCAAGTCCTGACGTTTGCGAATCAAAAGGTCGCCGAATACGCCAACAGCGCCGACCTGCACTCGCAAGCAACCCAAAGCCAGATCCTCAGCCTCCTCCTTTCGCCGATCAAGACCTACATCTCTCTCTTTACCGCGCTCGCATTACCCAACTTCATCCCTCTGCTACATTCACAACCATACCCGACTCGGAGAGCCGTGGCCGGCGAAGTCGCAAGAAGTCTGATGCGGAATCAGACCTACATCGCATCTGTGGAGAACCTCGAGAGTGTGCTGGAGATCTTGAAGGTTCTCATTCGGGAAGGCATCCAGCAGGCGCAGGGATACCCAGGAGGACCGATTCAAAGACGGGCACAGGAGACGGAAGAGACGATAGAAGAGCAGGGATGGCTCGCGCGGATAGTACACCTTATTCGCGGCAAGGACAACGATATCCAATTCAAGGTGAGTTCAATTAACATGCAGACTATAGTACGTACTAATAACTCCTATAGCTCCTTCAAGCCGCACGCAAGTCCTTCGCCGAAGGCAACGAGCGCGTCAAGTACACATCGCCCGCCATCATCACAGCATCACTCAAGCTCGCACGGCAGTACAAGAAGCGCGAACACTTCGAAGACAACTGGCAATCACAATCATCCGCTCTCTACAAGTTCATGCACAGCACACTGTCGACACTCTACACCCGCGTTACTGGCTCCGCAGACCTATCCCTCCGCCTCTTCATCGCCTGTGGTCAAGTCGCAGATCAGAACGGTTTCGAAGAGGTCGCGTACGAGTTCTTCGCGCAGGCGTTTACGATATACGAGGAGGCCATCAGCGACTCAAGAGCGCAGTTCCAGGCTGTGTGTGTCATTGCGAGTGGCCTACACACAACGAGGAATTTCGGCAAGGAGAATTACGATACCCTGATCACGAAGTGCGCGTTACATGGAAGCAAGCTGCTCAAGAAGCCGGATCAGTGTCGCGCAGTGTACCTCGCAAGTCACCTGTGGTGGGCGACTGAGATCAGGGCATTAGGCGAGGAGGACCCGAAGAACGTGAGTGAACCCAACCCGACTTTCAAGAAACCAGTACTGACTAGTACAGCTGTACCGCGACGGCAAGCGAGTGCTTGAGTGCTTACAACGTGCTCTCCGTGTGGCCGACGCATGCATGGATGCCGCGGTCTCAGTCGAGCTCTTTGTCGAGATTTTGAACAGATACGTCTACTACTTCGACCAAGAAAACGATGCTGTAAGTTGCCATCTTGCAAACTCCGAAGCTTTTCTAACGATTACTAGGTCACGACCAAATACCTCAACGGTCTCATCGAGCTCATTCACTCCAACCTACAATCCAACGAAAACGCTTCTTCGCTCGAGAACCCAAGGAAACACTTCCAGCGCACCCTGGATTACATAGCGAGTCGAGAATACGAGGGTGTGGTAACAGCGGCAAAGTAATGTTAGTGGGAAAGGGAGATGCGGCGCCTGTTTTGAGTTGGAAGTCCTTGTACGACTAGATGGACATGGATATTGCACGCTCGTATACCAAGTACATAGTATGGGAAAATGGAGAATGCTAATGAAGCCGAACATGTTGTACCATAGCACGCATGTGCCAAGCGTCTTCATAACCACTTGCAAGCAATATGGTGATGACCACCATGACGGCGTTGCACAGCATCTGCCAGTGCGCTAGGAAGTATTTAAACTATCTCTATGCCCTTCTACTTCATCTCTTTATCACTCTGATTGCTCGGACTTTCTCCAAAAATTAACAAAAAAAACACCCGATGGTCATATGGAGTTTCTCGGTGTCAGCATTGTCTCAAAACCCTAGCAGCAAATCTCATGGATTTGCCTGATTTGTTTAATGTTACTCTTGTATGATCAGCAAATATCCAAGGAGAGAAACATTTGTCCTTGCTTCTGCTCTAGAAAACTGTGCGGTTGTTCCTCATGTTGGTCGCTGTCGACTTTGTACATCAGATATTATCCCGAAACGAATTTCGAAAAATCGGATGTTGGTGGCTGTAGTTGCGACTGCTGTACCCATTGACTGAAGTTGTGCTTCCAAAAACGTATCCCAAAATGGACATGAGTTTGGGTTCTTGGTGGACTGACTTTACCAGAGAACAGTCTTACAGTAAATCATGGACTGCTAGGAGGTTTGGCTGGAGTGCAAAATATGTCATCTGCACTTTCATGGCTGGGAAGTCTTCTACAATTTACCATTTCATCTTCATCACCAGAAACTACTCGATGACGACGTATGCATTGCGCCGGGATTCCTCCAAATTACATCGAAGAGAATGACATGGATGTCCTTCTCCGTGTGGACTTCAGCGTCTGCCTCTCAAATGGTGTCCATGTGAATTGATGGTGTGCCTTCAGGCTTTCTCAAAACTGTCCACCACAGCCTACATAGGCCTTCTTGGGCCTCTTCATCATCTCAATGGCTTATACACCAGTAGCTTCTACACATCTGTTACCTGATTTGTAATAAAAGCCAAAGGTGGAATTCTGCTGTGATATTTGGAATGCGACTGTGGCAGACAATGAGAACAAAAAGTCATGCATGTTGACATAATGATCGCCATGTATGAAAAGTGAGGAAAGCGAAGGACGTGTCGCTGTAGTGCTGTGGGGTGCATCAAGAAATGTATAAATTCCAATCTGGCTTTCTGATTCTTTCTCCTCGCATAAATTCCAACCCTTCTTCTTTTCAACAAAAAATCATCAAAGCCATGGGAATATGTCTGGTCTCTCTGTTCAAATCGAGCGTGGAAGCTTACGATGTCGTCCATCGATCTCATAATCAGGGCATGATGGAACTCAAACTGCTACATATATTCATTCAAAAGCTTATATGAAGCTGACATGTCCTTCTGCAATACTCATTCAGGCCATGATCATATCAGGCAGCGCTCCTTTGTAAAACTCGCTACGCCCTTCAAAGTCGAAATCCAATCCCACGCATCCAAACTCCACCATCTTCTTGTCGAAGTTCTGGTACGTATACTCAATGAACATATCAATACCTGCATTGAAGTCAGCACCAATACATCTCAACCCAACTTCCTCATCAAAGAGAAAGGAACTCACCACACCCCGCGCC